CATGCTATGCAGCGCTTCATTGAAATACTGATCTATGGACAAATTGACATAGTGCAAGCGATACGTAAATATCTTCTATTCGTTTGAAAAATGAAGCAAATATCTTTTTATATTCGACATCCTATGATTCATTTCTACCAATTGGTGGTTTAATATAAATTCGTTTGAATGGATAATTATCTTCGATTTAAATATGAAATGATACTTTAAGTAGATCTTCTCAAGACGAAGGCCATTAGTCTGCAAATGTAATATGTCAAGTTGATAGTGGAGAAACTTATCCATGCGAAGAAATTTATTTTTAAAAAATACTCAAGCTCCTCGTAGATTTCTCCAAATTGTTCGTTGAGGTTGGGATCTTATTCGAATAACAACAACTTATTGTTACCTGCCCAATATCTCATCTTGCACGAACAACTTAGGCTGATCGAAGAGATATTTGAGTATCTCTCTTTAAAAATTCATTCACCTGAATATTTGTCTCTACTGTCAACTTCATATATTTCATTTGTATATCAATAATCTTCAGCATCCAAAGAATTAGTTGAATATATCATTTCATATTTAAATTCAAGAAAGTCTTTCATTTCAAATGAACGTTCATTAAGCCAATGTGATGGAAAAGAATCAAAGTAAAATGCACCGTATTTCGAATATATTCCATATAAACATGAATTTGATGGAGAATCTACCTGTAAAAAGATTTTCATTATTTATAATTTCCGAAAAAAAAAGGACTAAACGTTCTTTTGTTTGAAACGAAAATAATATAGATAATCATCGAATTTAAGAATATTAAACAGATTTGATAATATATTAAAACTATCATTACTGAACAATCTCATTCGAATATGAAACTGGTATAGATAACTATTCGGTTTCTCATTGATATATTTTCAGATGAATTTACAAAACAAATTATTCTGTAGACAATTAAAAGACGAAAGAGGACAATCTGAACAAATAAATTTTTTAAGAAAGATATTGCTAAAATAAAGACAGTTTTATTTTTCCTGGAAGATTCAATAAATAAACAAAATGAAAAGAAAGATATTTACCGAATATATATATTGTTAACAACAAATTCAAAATCATAAATAATAAAACAAGTAACTCCTTACAAAACAAATTATTTAATTAACATACACCTACATTAACCTACATCAAAATATTTCTTGTTCTTAGGGCATCTCCTTAAACCATAAAATGTATGCTGACGGGTTCTTTCACCACCAGTATTGAAACTAAGGGTTTAAGAATATTCTTCTTTTTCTTTTTCTTCTTTACTTTTTTCTTTATCAGCAGGATAAAAAATTTTTCCCCATCATGGTTTAATCCACTGCTTAATCATAGATGTCCATTGCGGACTAATCTTTTGACGCTTATTATACGATAAATTGATAGTAGAATAAACACTTTCAAGCTTCTTCCTTCGAAACAAATTACTTTCATTATCAAAAATTACGCTTTCATCAAATTTAATCGCACACCCAGTATTAGCACTGATATGTTGAACCAATTCAGAATTCCCTATATCAAATTTTTTAATTTTCATTTTATGTTGGTTAATTCTTTTATATAATGATACAGTTTCACCTGTGTATAAATCACCACATTCACATAGTAACCCGTACACTGCAAATTCTCCAGTTTTTATACATTTTTCTTCACTACTTTTATTTTTATTTATATTGTTTAGAGCAACTATTTTGCCTTTCATTAACCATATCACCTATACTAAGATTAAGTTTTGTATAAATTTTGACTCCAAACTTTTTAAGTAAATGTCTTAACTTTTCTGTCAATTCGTTTACATGATGAATAACAATAACACTCTGTTTACTATTTTTCTCATTCTCAACCATTCTTCTATCCTCATTATTGTGTTTTTTTACCATTCGAAAAATTTTCTTTACTTAATTGTGTGGATAACCACTATTCGTCAACATATTTATAAGTATTTGCATGTCATTATCATTATGATTTCCATTATTTGCTATCTGAATTCTTTTAATCATATTCATAGCAATATTTTTCTTCATTGCCAGATTATGATCAGACTCATAATGTAGCAAACGGTTATTTGCTGTTGGTTTTTTAAAACCAGTTTGTTTTTAAACATAATTTAGTTCCATTAAAATGGATTTGCACGTCTAAGAAAGATATAAAATTACTTTTCTCGTATTCATACTCAAATTTCAAATTTTCGTCTAGCTTGTTAAACTCATATACTAAAGATTTAATTTGATTTTCAGATAGTTCTGAAACCACAAATATATGATCAACATATCTAGCTAACCCAGAATATGGATATTTTTGAAAGTCCCAGTATTTTGCTAAGAATTCGTTGACAAAAATATCAGCTAAAAATGGCGATATAGAAAGTCCCATAGGTAGACCTTTTAACTGATAATAGATTTTATCACGAAACTGAAATATTACATTTTCAATACAAAATTCAAATAATCGAATTAAGCTTTCTTTACTTAATGACGTTTCTCTCTTTCAATCTTCATTTAAGTCTAACATCTTGTCTAATGTTTTCAACACTTTATTTCTATCAGTTGAAGTGAACATATCCGAAACATCTAGACTCGCAAGTGAACAATTCTTCTTAATTTTGACTTAGTAAAGCTGTTTAATAAATTCTTGTGTACTTTTAATACAACGAACTCCATCTGCTAATGATTTAGTTATCTTTGCTAAATATTTAGTCAAGTTTGAAGACATTGTATCCCTCATTGAGACAATGATTCTCATAGGACTACCCTCTTTATGTACTTCCACTTGTCCCCTCACGTACGGTATGTTTTTATCACTCAATAAATATTCCATAGTTTCTTTCTCCATTTCTTTCTTACCCACTAATTCCGATAATAATATCTCAAACTTCTTCTTTATTGTTTTAAATCTATCATTTTGCTCAACAATATAATCTTTCGTATTCAGTTTATCTTCAACTTTCTTAATATAATCATCAATATTCATTACCACTACTTTTTTACCTTTATCAGCGGGTATCACTATAATAGTTTCATCTGATTTAAGATAATGGATAGCGTCTAGCTGTACTTTAGATAAGTTCTTAACCCCTAACTTAGTATATCTATCCAAATGCATATTTACTACTTTCTTAACTTCGCTAATTATATCTTCTTTTACTCCAATACTCTTATTGTATAAACCTGCTTCAACCCCAGCGATCATCTTCGCGATATATTTCGTACTATTAATTGGTCTAGTAGGAATAAAATTCAAACCTTTTTCCAACACTGAACGTTCATAGTCATTAAGTTTTCTTGTTGTTAAATCCACTACGTTAGATTCGATATTATCTTGTTACTATTGTTAGTATTGTTATGCTTAATTATTTCTACAACTTTTTCACTAACTAACTTCCACCATTTTTGATACAATCTCTATTTGATTTTATTTCTAATTCTCTAAACAATACTTTCAATATGCATACACCAAGTTGGTAAATCATAGACATCATAGGATATCATTTTAATCTGTTGGTCTATCATACTGATAAATTTCGTCAATTTGTCAATAGCACCATAATTTGTCCTAATTACTCCATTCATCAGTTTTTTACTTATGGAGGCACATAGATCTTTAACCTTACCAACTTCAAATTTACTTATTTTTATTCTGAAGCCATATGGAATAACACTGCTTCTTTTGCATTTCTTTAAAAAGTAATTATGTTCATATAACCTGATCAATTTAATCAAATATATCTTCTGCTGTTTAAACAATCCCAATAATTTAAAGCATATTAAGTCAGACATTTATTCTCAAGAAGACACAGTTTATTTTGTTTGCAGTGAACCCATGTCATCAAAACCGGTTGAATACTGCCCGGTTACCGCTCCGGTATCATTATGTTACATTCGCTGGTATATCACCGGCGGAACTGAAATTACCACACGGTCTACTGAACCGCGCGGTACACTGATCAGTATCAACCGGTATTTTATTAATATGAGCAAACAGTACAGGAGTTCGAATCGTTCTCAGTTTTATTTTTTTTTGTGCTTTTTGCGCATGCAGCGCAGTGACGTACCCGAACGGGAAGAACTTGACTCAAGTCGAAGTGCAAACTTTGACAAGTCTCGCTTTAATCTGAAAGAGAAAGTTTAATCTGAAAAAAAATAAAAAGCTTTTTGACTTTTCTGCGTTTCTTATATAGACTGACAACCGCAAAACAAAAAGATGAATGTGTCAAAACGGTTTCAAGACGGTTCTTTCTTGTACCGCGGTCTGAGAAATAGCGTGCGGTAACCGCCGGTAGAAGAAAAAACCGTTGCTAAATCGATAGTTATACCGAACGATACGGTTAACCAGTCGTAATCTATAGACCGGTCGGTAACCGGTGGTATTACGAAAAAGAGTGCGACATGAGAACACATTTATCCCAATTACCGTATAATTTGTGGAGAATTCGATCGATTGTATATTGTAACCGAACTTTGGTGAAAGGATTCTTAACATCAAAATACATTTTAAACGCTAGATGCGACTTGTCGAAATTTTTGACAGTATTAGAGAAGTCAAACAAATCTTTAACCATTGTCATCAGCAGCACAGTTGATAAAGACAAACAAGCAGTTTCACAATAAGTTTTTTGCATTTGTTCTTATTGTTCTTTTGAAAGATAATGATTTATATCAAAAACTGATACAAGCGTCTTCGAGAAAGCATCTCCAAAAAATCATACTTGAGAAAACGCTTACTGACAACCGTCTTTAGAAAAGCATCTACATAAACCCATCTCTTAACAGCATTGTCGAAAAACTTTTTTTATACCGTATATGATCGGATTCAAAGTCTAACAAACGGGCACTTGCCACTTCTTTTCTAAACCAATTTGTTTCAATGACTTCTTTATCTCCTTTAATGTGTATGCACACATCTAGAAATGTAATAGTATTATTTTTCTCAAACTCAAACGTAAATTGCAACTTTCAAAATTATTTAAATACTCTACCAGTTCTTTTATTTGACATGCATGTTTAAACGGAGGATAGCAGAACATATTAAAAAAGCGAAACAAACAGATGTTAAGGGCTCAGAACGGACGCAGCATCAAGAAAATGGTACCGCATGTTTTACAGATTTTGAAAACAGTATGATTTTTGATAAAGAACAGAACTGGAATAGAAGAAAAACACTAGAGACAGTGTATACCATAGCAAACCAACTACCACGTTATTTCTCTTTGAAGAACAAAATAAGAAAAGGCAAAATTTTATATTTTTATTGAAATTTATTCTATATTCAAAAGAAACAGTGCTGGCTGTGAATTTATTCTATATTCTGCCTACTTCGCGAC